GGATCCTCAGTGCCCTTGAAGTGTGCTAGCACTCAGTATAGAAAGGAATAGCTCTATGCCAAATGCTAAGTGGACTTTTAAGTATGTAAGCCATTTTTCTTCTTGTAAAATCTAGGTTTGATTTTGTAAAAAGACTTGCGAACTTTTTTTTCTGGGGACTTTGATGCAATTTTTCTCTGGATTACAGCTGAGTGAACTATTCCCGCTCCCCCTTTCTTTTTTTCTATTTGTGATTAAGAGAAGATTTGATTATAATCAATTATTTAAAATTAGTCAACTGCACTTGGAGCAATACATTGCCTCTGGGTCGTTTGCACTTGCTTTGCTAGTTATCTGAAGTTCTCCACAAAATTTAAGGCCAGAGGGGACCATTAGATCAGTTAGTCTGACCGCCTGCACATCACAGTCCATTAAATTTCACCCAGTCAGCCTCCCACTAAGCCAAATAACGCCTGAGTTGGCTAAATCACTGAACACAGAAACATATCCAGCCTGGATTTGAAGACATCCAGGGACACAGAGTCTGATACTCCCTTGGTAGTTTGTTTCAATGGTTTAAAATTGTGCCTTATTTCCTATTTGAATTTGGTCGGAAGCTGAATCCAGATTTTGGTTCTTGTTATACTTTTCTCTGCCAGGTGCCACAGCCATTTGGTATATGGCATTTTCTCTCCATGATGGTACTTATATATACACAGTAATCAAGTCACGCCCCAGTCCTTTTTCTAACTGTTAGAAAAATATTGGAAACTGATTGTGTTTTATGATTTTCTCCCAATAAGGAACTTTTTATTTAATTTTAAAAACATTTAAAAATTATTTCATTGTCTTCTCTGGTATTTGACTATACTTTTAAGGAGAAAAATGACAGAACTGCAGGAAATATTCTTTCTGTCTTACCAGAACAGAGGGAAAATTTTATAAATCTCAGATCTGGACATATGTCTGCTGTGAATATCATCTCACCACCCACTTGTGGGCAATGCCCAGGTGGGCATGCTTTTCTCTGGCCTTAGCTTGCTATTTTATTATTTGTAAGGAGATGGAGTGATTGAACTCATGAAAACCCTTTTTACTGCTTGGTACATTCTCACATCTGAGAGGGTTAAAAAGCTTTCTCATTCTGCAGAGATCTCACAGAAAGAAAGCTAATTGTGGTCCTCTCTTGAAGCATGAGAAGGTGAAGCTCAGCCAAGGGCTTGAATGTCCATACCTCAGTAAGGCATTCTTGAGTGGATTTTGCTGTTGTTACACCTCTTCTGTTGTAGCCATAGTTCTAAGTCATTGGACATGTAATCTGACCATGAGCTCTGAGGTAGCAACTGAATATTTTCATCACGCTAAGAGAGATGGAGCTTTCCTCTCTCCTCTCCTTTGGGAGCTCTTCTGCCTAACCTAACCATCACACAGTTTGAAGATGAGAAAAATTTGATGAAAAATATAAAGAAGCTTAGGACTCTCATAGAGTCACATTGCTCTCTATTCCTTCTTAGGTCTGTAGTTCGGCATTTGACTGCTTTAAAACATTCTTTCCTTATTACTCCTGAGCCACTGATGAAAAGCGAGCTGAATAGCATACAGCCTAACTGTGATCACAGCAGACTTCTCCATCAGGTGCATCATCATGGCTAGGCTTCGCGAACGAAGATTTGGGAAGGGCTCTACCCGCGTTTGCTGCAAGCACATTGGTGGCTAAAAAGGCCAATACGAGATAGGCACATCCAGTTGTAAAAGGCACAGCAGAAAGACTCCCTAGGTGGTATATTCTGCAAGACACGATTCTTTCTGCATTGTCTTTTCTCCTCAAGGGTGATCCTGCGTGCTTTCTTAAAAGCATCAACAACGTTATAGATGGTGTGTCTCCAGGCCTCCCGATTGGAGGCCAGAGTAGACCAGTTATGTTGATCAATATGGCCAAGGCTGAGATGTTGTTTCAGGGAGTCCTTGTATCTTCTCTTTGGGGCTCCTCTCTTGCGGCAGCCGGTGGCAAGTTCACCATAGAGCAAGATCTTAGGGAGGCGGTGGTCCTTCATCCTGGAGACGTGCCCTGCCCATCGCAGCTGCGTTCTCAGTATCATGGCTTCTATACTTGTGACTGCTGCTTGTTCTAGAACAGATGTATTGGTCACATAATCTGACCAGTGGATGTTTAGGATTGTGCGGAGAAAGCGTTGATGGAAGCGTTCTAGGAGACACAGGTGGTGGCGGTAGATGACCCATGATCAGGTGCACCCTTATGGAAAATTCACCTGCTGATAACTACTTTTTGGATATGTACTGAAGGCAGCACTTGGTTCAGTTACTACAGCTTTTACTGACTGTGGATAATGTTAATTTTAGGGAGATGAACACACCCGAGGAGTTGATGTATACTTTAGCTGCGCACTTAAAAACCTAATAAACACCAGTCTGACTTAATTTTTTAGGATGATGAGACCTCTTTCCTGTGAAACTGTACTGATTACTGATAATTATATCCTCATCATCCCATTCTTTATTGATAGAATTACTCATTAACAACTTTTAAATTTTGCCTAGGACTTACATCCACTTACCCAGATTTTGGCTACTTGTGCCTCACGGGCTGCCCTTTCTGTGTTTTGGTTCGTCTCTGTATGCTTTAAGCCTGTGGCATGGATCCAGCATTCAGAGAACATCAAAACTGAATATAAGTTAGCAAATTCCTGCCTTAAGCAGAAGTCTGAGAACTTTTAAATGTACATTCTATGGACCTTCTCATACAAAAGTTTTCACCTTTAGTAGATCTTCAACATCTTTCTTATTGGGATGGATTCAAATGTTTCTTGTAATATTCAGATGATATGAATATGTTATTTACATTTCACCATGCTTTCCACACATAGGCCAGAACTAGATGCCTGACACTTCTGCCTCCTCACATATTTTTCTGAAATTCAGATATTATCTAGAATGATTTTTAACAAGGACTTATCCTTTGTTGTTATTATTAGAGATAGATTATCCTGATGTCTTCAGATCTCTGTCTCAGTTTTACATACTTTGGGTTTTAGTTTATGTTAATTGCTCTCTTCCTTCCTCACCTTTCTGTCATATGTTGTTCCCTTATGTCTAACTTCATCTTTCCATTCACCAGGTGTGGTGGGTTAACCTTGGCTGGAAGCCAGGTGCCCACCCACTGCTCTTCCTATCCACTCCCCTTCCCAGGCGCAAAGGGGAAAGAGAGTAAGGGGGAAAACAACTTGTGGGTTAGGATAAGGCAGTTTATTAAGGCAAAAGGAAAGCAAAAGATAACAAGGTTTATTCTCTACTTCCCATCAGCAGTGATGGCTGACAAATTTCCCAAGAAGCAGGGCTTCAGCACATGTAACGGTTTCTCAGCAGGCAGCCTTTGGAAACAACGAATGCCCCCCTTCCTGCTACTTTCCTTAGCTCTTATGTCCGAGATGATGTCATATGGTATGGAATATCCCTTTGGTTGGTTTGGATCAGCTGGCCTACTTGTGTCCCCTCCCAGAAGGAATGTTACAGTACTGATGCTGCGCTCAGCAGTAGCCAAAACACTGGTGTGTTATCAATACCCTTCTAGCTATCAATACAAAGCAAAACACTATGAGGGTTGCTATGGGGAAATGAACTCCATCTAAGCCAGACACGATGCACCAGGATAGCCTTTTAGGTAATGTCATTATCTTTCTTGATTATGACATTATGCTTTTGACATAAGAAACTCCATTTGTCATTTACAATTGTGCTTCTTAGTTTTGAATCCCCAATCAACTTTGCTTCCATTTTTTTTTTAAATTATTCTTTTGCTTGGAAGCATCTTCTTTAGCACTGGAGAAGTTTTGTTTGCGTAACTCTATCTATAAAACTGTATTTAAGTAGACTAATGATTGAAACTGGCTTTTTTTGGGTCCATGCTGATGTCTTTTTTATTGAGATTGCTGTTGCAGTTTACTACCTAAAATTTTTACTTACAATAATGTATAAAGAATTGTATTCTATGCAAGGCATTTTTATTTGAAAAATGTCATAGATATTTTAAAGAATCCTACTGACGCCTTGCTGCTGGATGTGGAGGGATCTTTTGTCTTCATCTGCCGAACTGTAGTTTTCAAACTAGCTGTTCTGATCTTTGGTTTGACTTGTAGGTCTATCAGAAATCTTCACCTCTTTTTGACAACCCACTGCTGGCTGCTTGTTTTATGGGATTTGTCACCCAAGGCATATAATCTAGAGAGGGTTTTTGTTTGGTTTTTTTTAATTCTTGCTCAGATTTTTTTGAAAATGCAAGTGAGCTATGCATGATGTTCCTTTGGGATGAAGGCTGACCTAGGCCAGGAGTTGAGTGAAGACGGCTTTGCAGCTCCGCTTCTCTCCCTCTTTTGGGCCCCTTCATTTCAGTGAAGCAGTTAAACACTTTTCCCGCAATCCCTGCTATGACATTTAGTTCATCATTCATATTTACTCGGCCACGTGTGAGCTCCCCTATAAGAATGAGAATAAATGCCCCATGTGGAGTCCTGCATATAAATTTCTATACTGGCTCGCATCTTTGCTTATCATTCTTTTTTTTCTATAAACTGTAAAAAAATGCCTGGATCTGGATTGTGAGCAGTTTCCCTCCTGCTACTTCAAAAGAGCATATTAGTCATGTAATGAACAGGCTTAGTGCCGGACTTGACAAAACACTGGGAAATACACTGTTGGGCACAATTCTGAACTGGCAGGGAACTGGGCTGGATGACCTAATAGGGCTCTTTCATCTCCAGTTACTTATGATTTTCAATGCTAATTAAAACCTCACTAGCTAGTGGGGAAGAATATCACAGCCAATTCAAATAACTTCTTAAAAACTTTCCTTCTGTTTATTTTTTCCACTTGCCCACTTCAATTTTATACACATACCACTTAAAAACACTCTGAATTACAAAAGTGTCCAGTTATAAAACTATAGAACAAACAAACAAAGCCAATTACGAATAGCAGCTTGTAATAAAAGTGCAAAGGCCAGGAAATAAATTATTTGGCTTTATTAAGGAAAAAGAAAGTAATTTCTGTAGTACTACTTAGGTCTCCAGGTGTGCTGGGCTATGGCCGTGTTCTCGGTTCACCTTCCGTCTGAGCTCTCCCTCAGCTCTCACCAGATCTGGACACTGACATATGTCCAGTGGGAAGTTTTTTCCTTAATAAAAAAATCAGTCTTCAAACTTCCGCTGAGCAACTGCTTCAGCTTGATGGCTTGCCAGAGAAGGGCAGCCCAAACCTGGTGGCTTTAACCTCTTGTTCACATGTGATGGATGTCTTCACATGTCTAGGAAGTGGGTAGATGTTGGAGGTTCAGCTTCTGAGCCCTGGTAGGTTGATGGGGGACCAGAGGTCCTCGTGCAGCCTTCTGTCCACAGCTGCTAGGTAGCTGCACACAGAGGCCTGGGTTTGGTGTCAGCCCAGTGATGGACATGCTACAGCAATGAAGCACGTCTAGCCTAATGGGCTCATACACAAAACCAAACGATTTCTTGTCGTTCCTCAAGGCATCAAAACAACTGGGACACTAGAGAGAAAGTTTGAGAAAACTTGTCAAAAGCTGAAAAATTAAATGGAGGTTAAGATTTACAGACATTAAGGTTTAAGGAGACATTAACACATAAGTGAGTAGAATAATCTTGGGTGGACAGAACATCTGAAGGTTGTGTGGTCCAACCACCACTTAAAGCAGAGTCGACTTTGAAGTCCAGCTCTGTTAGAGGAAATTGCTCAGGGTCATGTCCTGTCAAATTCTTAATTTCTCCAAGAATAGAGGTTCCACAGCCTCTCTGGGCAATCTATGCTAATGTCACACCACCTTAATGGTAAGATCTTATTCCCTAATATCCAAATAGATTTGCAATATGATACTGTGCATGTTGTCATTTCACTGTGTATCTCTGGGAAAGTAAAAATGTCAAGGTAAATAAGAAAAAAATCAAAGTAGTAATACATAACCTGTTTACTACATGAATACTTTCTAGTTAATGTCCCTGAGTGGCTGTTACCACTGCAGTGACACATTATCTAGAAACAACAGTATTTGCATTCACCTTGCTAAAAAGGATGTCAAAACTTCAAAGTGTGAGATCAATTCAGAAATAACACAGAGCCAATCAGACTAGATGATTAACTTTTATTTCAAAGACTGATAGATGCCTTCAATCATGTTTATATTCAGTCTTTTGACAAATTGATGCCAACATATGACTATATTTCTTTTAAAAGCTGATCTCAGGCTGTGTTTTTTTTGACATCTTGTCATGCATTCAGATTTGTAAATCTCTCTCAGCCTCTTGAACAGAAAACAGGTCCCATGAATTGCCCCCAGAACTGACCATTACTTTGGGATGACCTGAGGTTGGTAAATGGTGGTTCAAACTTCTGAAGCAAGCTGGGGTGAATCTAGTCCCGGTGACCAGCCCATGGATCCACACAGGGAGAAGGAAGATAGGAGCACAGCCCTGTTTGCTGTTGTGTGCTGCCATACACCATCAGGATTGATAGGTCTTCAGGACATGTCAGAAATAAAAAGGCGTGAGAGGCTTAGGTCCCCATCTGGGACAGGAATTGTTCCATTTTCTGCAAAGAGAAAAAATGAAAAACTATTTGGATTCAAATAATTTGGTTCGCTGCACAATGTCATCTTCGGACTGGAGGTCATTCACTTCTGTGTTTAACAGTTTTTGGGTTTTTTTGTTTGCTTTTAAATTATGGTCAAATTTGGAACAATCAATGCCGTATTGAAAAAAGCAATCACTTTAAAAAAACTTTATCCTTTCTTTCCCAGCAGCAACAGGATTAGCCAAATTCAACCCAAATTTATTTTGTCCTTCTGAAACAAATTTTTGTCTTGTCAAAAAGAAATATTGCCAGGTTCAGATAAGGAAATCCCAAGGAAAGTGGAACATACAGAATGGACAACTTATAAGAAGATCATTTTCTGACAGATGTGTTTTTGGAGACATGGGATACATAGTGAATATGCATGAAGAGCCTTCATTTGCATGGGGAACTATAGATAAAGACTGAAGCCAAATGCCTGAAAAAAAGTTAAAGCTTGATTTACTTGTCAAGAAAATAAAAAACTGTCAGTGGGCTAACAAGTGTTGGGTAGGTCTGGACAGGATGTTTGTTGACTTGGGGAAGCGGTGGAGGGACTCCAAGAGGGTGAGCAATGGGCTAAATTGAGCGAAAATAGTTGGTAGTAGGTGCAAGCTGTGTGCAGACCTCAGGAGGTGCAAGGTGGCAGCGAAGCCAGCAGGGCAGGTGAGAACACGGGACAGTGGCTGGTTATGGCTGAGGATTACATTGTTGTTTTGTCTCATGTGTGGGATACAATGCTGATAGTGGGTCTGGACTAATGTTTCTGAACCATCTCAGACTCCCCAGTCTTCAGCAAAGCACTTCTGAGTGATGCACCAAGAGTAGTGGATCTCTAACTGAGCATGACCCACACAGGTCTATGAAGTCCAAGAGATCTTTGGTGCAGGGGATCTTTTAGACCATCAAGATGAGCTGTTAGGGTTATTTTGGCACAGAGTGGGTTTTTCAGACTACCAGGAGAAGTGGTAGGGGTATTTTAGTATGCAGGGTCCTTCAGACCATCAGATGAGACTCCAAGGAAAAGTTGTCCAGTAGGAGGTATTCACGTACCAAAAACTGTCTAAGCACTGTGCTGGATCCTGAGGATGATTTTCCTGAGATGTCATTCTCTATCTTGGGGTGGTGGGTGGTGGTGGCCTTCCCTTATTGTGAGGGTTGCTTTAAGGATGAATTCAGTAAAGATTGCACTCTCATATTAATGAGGCTGGAGTTGTACAGGTTCCTTTGACAGCAGGAAAATGCTAAATCACAGCCACAGAATGCATTGGGGTGCACTTTAGAAACTGTGTAGGTTTGCTCAAGATAGGTTTGAAGATAAGACCATGGAGAATGCTACTTTTTGCAGAAATATACTTGTTATGAATAGCATGGAAAAGAATCATGCCCTGAGGTTCACCATGCATTCATAGGTCCCCAGATGAACAGTGGTCCACAGGAATGACAGATATATCTTAGAGCATACTACATGCAACTAATATGAATTTTGATTTTCTCTCCTTCTAGCCTACCTTTTTTAACATTTGCCTGTAACTATTGCATGTGGTAGTTTAGTAAGGACCATAAACTTGCACTTTCCAGCAGTCTGAATTTATAAACTGTCACAGTTTACACATTATTGGCCAAGAAATATCTGGTTTTCGATAGATTTTTAGTCTTTTGTTATACTCAAGGTAATGAATTTGTGCGTATTCTGAACAGGAGTAGGATGAATAAGCTGGCAATTACCTATTAAATGAAGGTATGTTTGAAGAAGAATCATAGTGTAAAGGAGTTTGTATTAGACAGTATCCTCAAGAAAAACATTTACTTGTATTTCAGTTTATTTCATTGTTTGTAGGTATTTTTGGATGAATTCTAATTGTCATTCTGTTAAAAGAGTTTCTCTTCCTAACAGATTCTGAGTCAAGTTGTTAGTATCAACTGTGTGGTAATGGCCAACTTCTGTAGAAATATGAAGGTCGGAAACTCAATGGAAAGAAAACATTTCTTCTGTTCCAGGATGTGGGCAAATGCTTATGGGTGAAATAGAGCTGAAGGGCAAGAAATGTATATATTTTTTGGCCTGTCCCTCCAATATATCCATTGATTTATGTCAGGAAGGCAGCAGAATATGTTCCCATGACTTTACAAGCTCGCATGGGAAAAGGAGAACATTTTCATTTAAATTAAAAAGGTAAAATTAACCCTACTTGGAGAAGGTTTAATGCTATTGCAATCAGGCAAGTGGGAGAAAAGGTAAGAATCACACAGGTTCTTCTGAGAGTTTTGGACACTTTTTTTATAATTTCAGTTTGGATGCTGGGTTGGGCACAGAAGCTGCACGTCTTAGCATTGTAGTGTCTGGCTCAAAACCAGGACACGTCTGTGAGCCTGCTCATCTCTCACACAGATCAGGATGTGTAACATTATCCTTACAGATGCAGGAAGGAATATATCTTGGAGTAATTTTTTAAATTTTCCACAAAGATATTGAGTTGTTTTGAAAATGTATGTGACCTAAATACAGAGCCCTTCAGAGACAGATGTCTTCAGAGGCCAACGACAGGGCAGGCAGCCACTTGCTAGTGGAATTTCTACTGGCTACAGGTGATTTGACACAGAAAGGGGAAAGACCTACCTTTTGTTTTAAAAGGTACTTCTGGTGCTCCCATGCTGCATGTCTCTGACTTCACAGCTTCACAGCGGCCACCTGAGTTGATTTTGGACTGGGAGACAGTCTATATTATGTCTAGGACAACTGGGCATACCCCAACAAAAATAGCTCTTACACATTATTAAAGTGTTTTACTAGAGGGTAGGGGATTTAAAGGAGGGAGAAGGGTTGGTTTCATCCAGAGAAATGCTCTTTTACAGCCTGCAGCCAGCTGGATGCTTGATGGGTTGCTTAGAATTGGAAAGGAGGGAATAAAGTAATTATCCTTCCCTAAAAATTAAGGGTCTTAAATTGATTTGACTTAACTTCCAGCCTAAATGGAGTGACTTATGATTTACAGCAAGGTGAGATCAGAATCAGGCCTGTGATCTTGACTTTTTTTATTTTTTTGTAAAAGCTATTTTCATCTCTAGATGTCATGGACCTTTCTGCATCCCATCTGTTCAGGGGTGTCTACAGCATTACTCCATAGACAGGGTATTTTTCTGGGCAGGAATTTCATTCCACTGATTTTTCACCAGCCTTAGTGATACTGAACTTACACAGTCTATTTGATTTCCCATTTTGGGGCAAGTTGGCTAGAGTGTGCTTTCTATAGCCTTTAAAAAGGCTTTTTAGTGGTAGTGCTTGCTAAAAGAGCCAGACTTCTGGCTCTGAAAAGCAGCTTGCTCTGTTGTAACACATTGCTATAGATCTGGAAGTTTTTTTTATACAGTTATCATGTCTGAGGTTTGATGCGGAAAGAATGGTTTACGGAAAAACAAGACAAATTGATCATCAATTTTTTGTGTCTTCACTGAGACTGCTGACTTGTGTTTCAATTCCAGCAGCACTTCAGTGATAGCTTCTTCTCAATGGAAAAAATTGTCCTTTGGAAGGTATGATTTGCCCAGGACAAAATCAACTCAAATAGTCATTCAGCAAACAGTTTCAGAGGCTTCCTAGAGCACATTGGAGAAGTCAGTAGAGATACTTGGGTAGAAGGATGCATGTGACTGCTAGCTGAGGTCCTTTGGAAAACTGTTCCTTTCATTCCCTATTACACAACTTTTACAGAAACCAATCAGACCAGACAATTCCCTTACAACAGTTGCAGGTCAAAACATTAATGTTTACAGCTGCCTCTCCTGTGCAGTTCACAGTGGCTAAAGTACAGGTCCAATCTGTGATGATTAATGTACTTCTTAATGTATGGACCTGCCCTGAGGTGAGAGTTGTCAAAGCCTGGAAGTTTTGGTGTTCATTCTCACCCCCCCAGGGATCAGTTGACAGACCACTATCTGCTGATGAGTGTTGGAATCTAAGACTCAGTGATTCAAATGAGCAGCTGAGGGCTGTGTTGTTTAAAGAGAAAATATGGTAGAATTAAGGTTTCCAAATCCCAGACAGGGGTCCTCAAAACTCGCACCCTGTTTTTTATTATTAGAAGTGTTATTACTATGACTTCACTGGATTTTCACCAGTGCGTTCCAGAGTCATATTGCTGTGCTTTTCCCAGGACTGCTCCCATCTCATCAGGGTTGAATGGTGTGGTTCATGTGTCACTGTTCAGTACAGGAATCATCCCTCTAGATGTTAAAAGGACCGTGATCTGGTAGGATGCACGGTTCATTTCCACTGACTGTGAAGGGATCTGTGCATCTGTGCATACAATTTTCATCTCTCAGCACAGAAGCTCCATGTCCCCTCATCAGGCTGTATAAAGAAAAATTATTGTGGGTTGACCCTGATTGGATGTCAGGTGCCCACCAAAGCCACCCTATCACTTCCCTCCACAAGTGGAGAGTGGACAGAAAATATAATGAAGGGTTAATGATTTGAGATGAGGACAGGGAGAGATCAGTCACCAAATACCGTCACAGGCAAAACAGACTCACCTTGAGGATATTAATTTAATTCATTACTAACAAAATCAGAGCAGGATAATGAGAAGTAGAATAAATCATAAAAACACCTTTCCCCCCTCCCCTTCCTGCTTCCCAAACTCTACCTCCTTACCTGTGGTGCAGGGAGATGGGGAATTGGGGTTACAGTCAGTTCATCACAGTTGTTTCTGCCACTGCTAAGGGAGAGGACTCCTTCCCCTGCTCCAGCATGGGATCCCTCCCACGTGAGACAGTCCTCTATGAATTTCTCCAATGTGAGTTTATCCCACAGGCAACAGTTCTCCACGAACTGTTGCAATGTGGGTCACTCTTCCACGGGGTGCAGTCCTTTGGGCACAGCCCGTTCCAGTGTGGGTACCCCACAGGGTCACAAGTCCTACCAGGAAACCTGCTCCGGCTTAGGCTCCTCATTCCATGGGTCTGCAGGTCCCTGCTAGGAGCATGCTCCAACATGGACTTCCTATAGGTTCACAGCCTTCTTTTCAGGCATCCACCTACTCTGGCGTAGGTCTCCTCCAGGGACTACAGGGGAATCTCAGCTCTGGCACCTGGAGCACCTCCTCCCTCTCCTTTTCCACTGAGCTGGGTGTCTGCAGAACTGCTCTTCTCACATATTCTCACCCCTCTCTTCTCTGGCTGCAATTACATCTGCCCAATAACTTTTTTTTTTTTCCTTTTTAAATATGTTATCACAAAGGAGTTCCCCTCGTTCCTGATTGGCTTGCCCTTGGCCAGTGGCGGGCCCATCTATCCTGGGGTTGGCTGGCACTGGCTCTGCTAGACATGGTGGAAGCTTCTAGAAGCTTCTTACAGAAGGCACTCCTGTAGCCCCCACTTCTACCAAAAGCTGGCCATGCAAACCCAATACAAAGAGTTGTTGTGCCACACAAGGAGGGTGCTTCCCCTTGATACCTGGAGATTAGATCTCTCAGCTGGAGGTTCAGGACTCTGGGATGACTTACTCCTTTGGCATTACATGATTATTGAATAAAATATATGAACTATTTGGTAATGGGAACACTCACTGAATGCTTCTGTATTTGTTTTTTGCATTAGTCACTGGAAATGTCTATGGGTGAAATTCCTCTCTTCTAACTGCATATGTCTACATCTGAGCAGAGCAGAGGTGGATATAGATATTGCCTGACACTGTGATGAGATTTTCCAGATGCATTGTGTGACATGCACCATTGTGGCCATACACAGATCAGAGTAAGTGAGGAGAAACAGGCCTTCTCTGTATTTCTGTTCTCTGCTAGTTACTGGATAATTGCCAGGTATGTTCACACAATTAATTCTGAGTTAATGCAGTACAGAAGCCTTCTTCAGACTAACTACCACCTCACATGTCAGTAAAAAAAGAGAAAACCAGAAAACCTGCTTCCATCTTGTGTTCCATTGGTGTTTACCAGCTGGAAGGGGAAGAGGGAGAGAGATGAAGTATTCAATATTTAGATACACAGTATGATGATGTTCTACCAAAATTTGTAATTTTAATAAACAGGTTCATCAGAAAAATTGAAGACCCTAAAGATGATGCTCATGGAAACTGACAGCAGTAGGGAGCCAGCTTTGACCTTTGTCTCCTGGAAAACACTCGTACAATCACTGGTTGCACAAAAAACTGTGACCATGTTCCTTTGGAAGTGCAGTTTTGCAGTGATTTTACAAACTGCTCCCAACTGTAGTGTTGATCCCAGTCATCTGTGGGCTGCAGATTGAGTGACAGCAGAGCAAAGGGCTTTTTTTCTTTTTGAAAGCAACAGTTCAAGAATGGATCTGGATGAAATTTCGTATTTTTTTTCTTGCTGAAAAATGCACTTTAAAGTTTCCTTCCCTTTGAGCCTTTTAGGTCTACAACCTGGGGCAGCTTTAGGAGATCCTCTGTCGTGAATTAGATGTATGGGCTATACCCACTGAGACTGGATCCAACCTGACAAACAACCAGTGTTAAAGTGAACTGGCCTACTTGAGGTTGATGAGTGGGCAATTTGGATGCAGTGGTTAATTTGCCTTTTGTTTAGAAGCTGCAGTGGAAGAAATTTTATGGAGTTTTCTGGCAAAGGCCAGGCAATGAGTTTTTGCCTTTTGTGCTCTTATTAATTCAAAATTTTGGCCATGGTAGGCGATATCACATTTTGAGATTGGGGATGTATGGACCATATTATTTTTTGGAAAGATGTGTAAGTGGTCTTGCTTTAACTCACAAACTTGGCTTATCACAGACAAATTGGGTACTCACATGGATTTCCTATGGCTTCAAGATGTTCAGTGACAGGAAACAAGCATAATGTGTATGAACACCAACTTGAATAAAAGCTGAAGAAATACAGTGGTCCCAGTTTTTTGAACACTAAACTACAACTAGTGCAGCGTGCAAGGTAGTGGAGACAGCTGATTATCACTGCAGAATAAAAGCACAAAATGCCTGTGGATTGTCATACTATACATATGTTCAGCATCAATATTTAAGGCTGAGACAGTAAAAATACTTTGCAGAACTGCACAGTTGGAGAGAGGAGAAAATTGATCATTGCATTTTGATTTAAAATGCTTGCAACCAGAAACACGACTGTGTGGCTTCTAATCTGATACAACCTGGCACCACTTATCTGCTTTTCAACGCAGGCTCAGACCTATCTGAGCCTAAGTCACAGCCTGATCATTAGAAATACTTGCCACTGGTGTGCCAGGATGTCATGCTTGGTGCCCTGCTCACCTGACCCTTGCCCATGGGATGTGCTAGGTGATGTGCTAACCCCTTCAGCTGTCTCCTGCCGCTCTGTAACATCCATCTGCAGCCTCTGTCTCCATCTCTCAAGTCAGTCCCTATCTGCCTGTGACCTCTTTACAGCACACTAGGAAAATTTAAGACAGGTGAGGACCTTGTCTTAAATATTTATGACTTAAGTGGGAGAAAGATATGAGAATTTTCTTTTTTGAATGTCAGTTGTCCCAGATGACTGCAGATGTGTAAATAGATGTAAGCGTTCCACTTCCTCAAGAGTCTGTTTTCTTCCATTTTCTTCCAAGATTTGGCTTTCTTGTTGCAGAGCAGTCATTGACTTCTCTGTGTCTTTGGAGACAGCTGGATTTCCAGCTTCTAGGGAAGTTATAAATCTTGGCAACACATATCACAGTGTTTTGAGAAAGATAAAAATTGGCTCTTTCCACAGGTGATTTTCTGTAACTCATCTGTCCTGCACTTGATTGAGTAACTTGGTACTAAGAGCCAATGTGCAGTTATTTTAAAAATTGCAATTAAGTGGGGACCTTAGAGCCCTTAAAGTCACAGGTGAAGTACTGTGTCCTCTTTTTCAGGCTAAAATAACTAGAAATAAATATTGAAAAATCTCTATTCTAAGTAAATATTAGACATCACCTAATTTCCCCCAGAAGTAATTCCATTTTTTCTTTTTAATTCAGGACATGCCACAATGTGATGTATAGTTCTTTAACCCTTTGCTGGCCTATGCCAATATAACTTCAATGGGCTTCTTTAAAGAACAATGTCTCACTAAGATACTAGCACTTTAATTTGATACATACCTTTTATCAGACATATGTGGGACATGGAGTTGCTCAGCACCTGCTGTGCTGTTTAGTAGTCAAATGGTTAAACTTATTCAAAGGAGCTGGCAAGCTTCTTGTGGCATATTCACTGGAAATACATTTATTTTTACTGTGGAACCAGGCCCACATGAAAAGCCTTGAGAGAATCTGCTTGTGAAAACCTGGATTCATAGTGGAGGAAAAATAAAACAAGAATAATAGTATGAATCGGGCTCCTAAGTTTTGTTAAGAGCACAAGGTATTTAAGTTAGATAAATAACACAGCTTCATAAAAGCAAACTTTCAAACTGCCACAGGCTTATCAAGAAAGTCAATAAAACATTTATTACAAATTAAAATGCAATAAAAATCAAGTCGACCCTTTTTTCAAGCTCCATGTGTGACTCAAGCCTTATCTAGACCTTCTGGGGGAGAAACTCAGAGGTGACAACCAGTCCGAAAGCACCACAGCCCAGAAAACAGGCACCCACCTTGCCCTGCCTTGACCCCTGCACTGTCACTTCCCACCTAGATTTTGGCATGGGGAGACAAGCTGCTGAGCATCCCTGAGGAAAAGGACGCATAGGGGTGCAGGGCATGGTGCTACTTTATACTCCCCTCCTCAAAAGATTTTCCTCTTTGTTCAGTGATGGAAAAACCTCTGCAAGGCTGAAAAAATAAGCAAGTACTAGTATGGGATGACCAAAACCAATATCTAGTTCAATTGCTCAGCTTTGACTCTCCAGTCCCCGGTGTCCTGTTGCACAGTGCCACCAAGCCCTGCGGCATCATGGTCTCCATACTCCTTTCCTCCATAGTGTGAACAGCCTTGGACAGTCACTGCTTACAAACCTCTACCTCCTCCAATTTTGCTTGCTCGTTTTCTTCAGATAGTTAGTTTGCTCAGTTTTATAGCCAGTATCTAAGCCAATTCCAAAAGACCAAAACCACTCTGCCAGGCAGAGACTGTGTTGTTTTATCTACTGCTGATAGTCAAGTATGGTCCTCCTTCTTGGTTCAGGGAGATAAATGACACCCTTAATCATGGCAGATATTAATTTAATAGGAACAGATATTCAATCATTTCAGGGTCTCCCTCCCACAGTGGTGGACTAATGCAGCAGGCCAATCAGATTCCCCACTTCTCAAGTGTGCTTACAGCAAAAATATAGGCTCACTCACTTGTGGATGCACCCCACCCCAGTACACCCCAACAAACTTCATCTTGTCTCAATTTAATTGAGATAATAAAGGGCAAACAAACCAAGTAAATTATTACTAGGACATGATACTCATCACAGATCGCTGTCTGCCTTCTATTTGTCTCCTCAGAGAGGTAACGGCTGTGGACAATCTTATGTGAGCACAGGTGGAAGGGTGAAGAGTGCAGGATTTTGTCTGCTGATGCAGTGCTCTTACAGAAACTCCAGGGTTTTCAAATGAGAAAGTGCTTAGAGGCAGTTTATGTAGCCAAAAATGAGGTGGTAAATGGTTGTACTGGGGCCAATATGGGGGCAAATTGGCCTGCCTATTTATAGGGCTGCAGTGCTGTCAAGCTATTCGATACATCTGTAGTTCTGTGTGGGAAAGCCCATGA